TACTAGTTATTTTAGGAGACAGATAGCAGAGTTGCTATCATATTATATTAATAATTCAGCCAAATCGTTGGCTACCAGTCCGGCTGCTTCTATTGAGCAGTCCATTGACATATGTCAGTTTACTGACAATAATCAATCTGTTGAAAATAATTCAATTTCTAATTATTTAAATTAATTAATAAGACAACGGAGAGATACTCTTGCAACATAATGACAGTAAAAAACCAACCTAAAACACATAGAAATAAAATAAATTGTATATTAAACCTGGTGCACCAAAATATTCAAGGCATGAAAGGCAAAGAGTTACAAATAGAATTATATATTAACTGTAATAATATTGATATTCTTTGTGTTACTGAGCACCACTTTCTATCAAAACATCAGTTCATGTTTAGTTTCAACAATCACCAGCTGGCTAGTTCGTTCAGCAGAGAAAAAGCTATTCATGGCGGCTCTTTACTTCTTATTAAAAATAATTTGAATTTGATATTGTGTGCCTATCTATTGAGCGGACTTTAGAGATATGCTGCGTAGAGCTTGAACGACTTGTTATAATAGAGCGTGTACAGACCCCCTCATTTATCTTACGAACTATTTGAAAAAAGATTAGATGAAGTTTTAGGCAAATTAAATAATCCAAATAAATATATTGCTGTTTGTGGTGACTTCAATGTTAACTTATTAGAAGATTCCAGTGCTAGCAGTAGGCTCATATCATTTTTCCAATGTTATATTCTTGTGAATATTTTCTTGGTGCCTACTAGAATAACTTCTACTACTGCCACTTGTTTAGACAACATATAAATGTTGTCTAAACAGTTTTTATAAACTAACGCCGTATCTAGTAATAAATCTGTTATAAATAAATTACCTTCTGATCACTGCGGTCAATTGGCCACTTTTAATATAACTGTTGACAAAATGCCAAAAAAGGAATATCACATGTGTTCCGATAAATAATGGTCGACTTAAAGCTTATAGAAATAACGTAATGCTTAAACTAACTGACATTTCGTACGTTAACGATCCCAATAAATTGTATAATTCAGTTTTCAACATAGTGAAAAGTGAACGTGATAATGTTTTTAAGTCCAAAATCATAACTATTAATAATTCATTGAAATTTAGTGATTAGGCGACTGTGAGAATTCACAAAAGTAGACAATGGCTATATGATCTTTACGATGAAAGGACCTATAACACTAGTAACAATTTTAATGTTTTTGTTAGGAAATATTCGAAAACGTTTAAACGTGTTTGTGTTGCAGCCAAAGCAATGTTTATAAATAATAAAATTAAAAGCAGCGCGAATGTAGCAAAAATGACTTGGAATATTTTTAAACAGCAAAACTGGAAGGGTCAAACCTCGTAACTTAGATTTTCAACTAAGATTTAATGACAAAATTGTAAACACAGACGCAGAAGTTGCTAAAATATTTGAAATTTTTTTACTGACATTCCAATTTTGACTACTAAGTCGTTAAATTCATCTTCCACCGCCGCTGAACCCTTACTAAAAGAAAATAATGCAGTTGATATCACTAATTTAAGGTTCCGTCATGTATTTCCAAACGACATTGTTAATGCCTTTAAGTCTATAAACATAAAAAATACTGCTGATCTTGATGGTCTTTCAGTCAGAGTAATTAGTTCTATAGTTGATTGTATTGCGCCTTACTTAGCCTGTGTCTTTAATAAATGTGTTGATAATGGTGTCTTTCCTGACCTCATGAAGCAAAGTAAAGTTATTCCACTTTTCAAATTTGGTAGTATTTCTGACCCCACCAATTTCAGACCTATATCAATACTACCAACTCTCAGTAAAATATTTGAAAAAATTATTCTAAATCAGATGTGTGCACATTTTTATAGTAATAACTTAATGTCTCCTAAACAATTTGGTTTCACTCGGGGTCGCTCTACAACCGATGCTGGTGTCGAGTTGATTAATCATATGTTTGATGCATGGAAACATGATGCTAGTGGTGTATTCTGTGACCTTTCCAAGGCTTTTGATTGTGTGCACCATGATACACTGGTCAGGAAACTTCACCATTGTGGTGGGGCGGGACGTGATCTCGACCTTCTTAAATCGTATTTGCGAGGTGGGGTTCAGAGGGTCGATGTTAACGGTACGAGATCATCAGGGTCTGCAATTAGCATGGGTGTCCCTCAAGGTTCAATCTAGGCCCATTGTTGTTTTTAGTTTATATTAATGACTTACCTACCTTTGCCTAATGGAGGGTATAAGACATGAGGTAGTATTGTTTGCTGATGATACTTCCTTATTATTTAAAGTTAAAAGGCACCAATGTTCCTACGACGATGTGAACAATGCTATATTTAAAGTAGTTGATTGGTTTGCTGTTAATAACCTACTCTGTTTTAGGTTTCTAAAACATGAAATGAAAGAAACGGTGCTTTCGCCCTTTCTACAAAACACCGGCAATATATTCCTGCGATGTTGTTAGTATTTTACAATTAAAATCCTCTATGCACGGGTCCCTCCATATCTCTAGGCACGGGTTTCCTCTGAAGAGAAAAGACTAGGTAATCCTTTACTCTGATCTAGTCCTGGTTGTGTTGCTTTGGTACTAGTGGTGAGTATTCGGAACACAAATATGAAAAGTGATTGGAAATAATTTTATACGATATTTAAAATTCCGTTTAATCAAACGATTCCCGTAAGTGGATTTAGTTCTTAGACCTCATGTGAAACTGTCAAGTGCACACAAGTCCAAACAACCTACAAGATACACAAAAGTGTGAGAAACCGTCTCACAAAGGTCCTTCCTCTAATCACGCATCTACTCAGTGGAATTCGCAGACGGTTACCATAATTGCCTTTTGTGCTACGAACAATACTGCAATAGTTTTATTGTTTAAATTATGCTCTGATGACCTGTAAAGCTAACATAATGTTTTGTGCTAAGTGTTAAGTTTTGCGCTAACGCCCGAATGTGCAAAATTTTAAAATAAGTAATATTCACAAACGACTGTTACCTAATTTGTTAGTAAATGTGATAATTTATTTTACAAGTAACGAAATAGAAATTTACCACAATAGATGGAGTGGAATGGACTTGGAATTTAATTTTTTTTAAATTCCAAGTAACTGTACAAAGAAATCGTGCGCCGGATGGCAAGCGACACGCACAGTTGTAGTGCCACTCAGAGCTTTAAATCGCAAAGATCTTAGGGGCACTACCACTACGTCTGTCACCTTGAGACAAGTTGACAAATCCCATGAGTCTGTAATTTCATGCAGCACCATTATCCCTCAAAACCGGAACACAGTAATGCTGACATTACTGCTTGGCGGCAGAAATAGGCAAAGTGGCAGTACTTCTCTGGACGAACTCTGTCACAAGGAGCTATACTGCTACTAAATGTATAGTTGAAAGGTACTTCTTTAAATTAAGATTCTATATACATTTTAAGGTTTTCGTGGTTATTCACAAAATTATTAGCACTAATTACGGTAATAATAAATAAATATGGGGAAAATAAAATCTCCATATTTATTTCTTAACACTGTAAGAAACCTGTTTTTTTTTGGAAAACCTGTTTTATTAGTAATAATTATTAAGGTTCTATGTTTAAGAAATGAAACTATTATCTTTTCGGATGTAAATTGCATGTATTTGTTTTTTCAAATAAATTAACGTTTCGTGCCCTTTACAGGTCCCATGGTCACGATTGATATGTAAGTAAATAGAACTCGATAAGATTCAATGTTGTTCATAAGTTCATAATCCTTATAATTGATCCTTTCGATGGGCATCATAAAAATACAGGGTTTTTATGCATTTGGTCGGTTTGATTCTCCGCAGTATATTACTTACTTTTGAAAATAAAGTAACCATGAATCAGAATATTTAAGTACTTCCCCTGCGTGTCCCATATTCGTAGGACACCCTGTGTTTAAAAAAAAAAGGTTTAATGCAAAATGGTACTCTTGATTTGGACCCTACATAAAATGATAATAATGACTGTCTTACTAAATTTGAAAACTCGTAGCCGTCATTGTTGTAAACTTTTGATTAGGCACATAAACATAACTACTAGAAACAATTATATAATTTATTATATTTATTATACTTTCACTTTGTAACTAAAAAAGAGTGTAGAAATTATAATTTTAAGATTTAATTGCCCGATATTGCGCTTCAAGAGTAAAAAAGGAAACTCGTCCAAAGAATGGAATTTCTCGGTTTTCAAATTTAGCATACGATGTGTAAATAGGAAGTTACATAACTTTGCAGACGGTAACATAATTAGTTGACGTGAACTACAAATGATCATTACGTTAAGGCGAATCTTTAAAATGTTAACACCTATAAACGGTGAGGTACGTTAGGTGCAATTTGTAATGCATTTGACATAAAACGTGCGTACCATTTAAACTGAGTAGGATCGTCGCTTTACGAGTCTCTTAATGGTTATACCATTGTACATGAACAAGATAATGTTACGTGTATGGGCTGTATTTAGTCGTTAATTGGTAATTAATACAATAATGAATGTCATTATGAGATTATTACTGTTTACGCTTCTGTATTCTGTTGTTAACAGTACTTTAAATAATAAAGACGTAAACAACTTTATCTATGCAATACGTATATTATATGTTCGACTTCTTATATTAATACTCTTTACTTTTTTATTATTTGGGGTTTTGTAGTTTCTGTTTTAATACGATAAAGAAGCGGATTTTTTAAAATAATAAAACCTAAATTTCGCAAATCAAGTACCGAAAACATTGTAAACACGGTCAATAATAAAAATAATTATGAGTAAATAAACTTTTTCTAATTGTGTCATTGTATTGGTCTCATAATGCGGTAAAAATTGTAGTTTTGGCCAAAGAAAATGAGATTTTCTCACAGATGTTGTGTCTAAATTCGTATCTGCGCTATGCAGTCGATGCAAGCTCCCCTTCTGCATGCAATGGCTAGACAAATCCGCGTCTCTATAAAAGGGACAGGTGATTAGCCGAGCAAGTACACACTGGCGCACACGCCGCCAACCGCCACCACATGGGATATCATCACTCTTGCGCATCCTGAGTAATTACAGTGCAGCAATCATTATGGTAAGTTGATATCGTTTTCTTAAATGTTACGTGTACTTTAAGGTTGTTTTGTTGGTTGGTTGTATGTTTTTCTTTTATGTCAATGCATCTTGTGCACTATGCTTCCGCCATTGTGGACAATGAAGTCCAGTCATATGGTTAGATTTAGAATTAATGTTATAATGAACAGTACAGTAGTTTTCATTTACAATTTAATAGTAAATTTCTAAAGATAGTTTTACAAGATATTATAATGATACTAAAGGTATTTGTAAGATACTATTAAAATGATTTTAGTTATTTGATAGGAGTCATTTAAAGCCTCATTCTAGTTTCAACAAAATATTTATAAAGTTATTAGGTTTAAATGTAATTCTTTTTTTGGATCTAAACTGCGTTTCATTTGTTTGAAAAAAAAAACAAATATATGCGATTCAGATTCGAAAAAATACTTTCATTTTCAAAATATTTATAAACTACATAGTATATAACACAAATTCACATTTTTCATTTAACACTGTCTCCTGTGACACAGTCATTTGTCAAATTTAGGAGCCAGAGTTCTTAGATTTGTTACGCCTTTTCTACCTGTTTGCTTTATTTTATTTTGTTTACATTTCGAAGCTGTAAATTTCTTCTCTATGCTATATATAAGGCTAAGGTGTGTTTTTGAACACACGCAGAACGCAGTAATGTTCAAATTACTGCTTGGCGGCAGAAATAGCTAAAGTGGCAGTGCTTCCCTGGACGAACTCTTTCACGAGGATTTCTACAGCTACTGCGTTATAGGTGTTAATAAAATTTTGATGTAGCACTATTTGTTATTCGAATTTATTATATCAACATTGATAGCTACCGAGGAAGGCGATTGAAAACTGCTGATATACTTAATTCAAATTTGCTACCTCAAAAATGGTAAACTTAATATAATTTAAAATAGATTTAATATGGCGGCGACCTTTTGGCTCGTTCTGAGGATGTGCCCATAGTTGGCGCCTAGGGCGTCCGGGCATCGCGCGCCTTTTGCAATTTGCAGTGAACATTTAGTGTATAATGCTTAACCTTTGCCAGTTTTGCCGTTTACCTCGGCTACAAGTATGTCATCTATTTCAATTATAAATAAAATCAGGTAGCAATGGTACAAAGTACCATCAAATGCGTGAATTATTTGTACAAAAGAGGTCATAAATTTATCGGTCAGTACAGAAAGAGAAAATGAACATTTTACTTTTTTATTTAAATAAGATCTTACTCACTAAATTGTCATAGCTCTAAGTATATTGCAAATTAGATCATTGTGAGTTAGTAACTAATCCATAACAGCTGCAGTGCCACTCAGAGCTTTAAATCGCAAAGATCTGAGGGACACTGCCGCTGCACCTGTCTCCCTGAGCCATAGGTTGCCTGAGAAGAGATCCGTGCCCAGCAGTGGGACTTATAAATGAGTTGGTGGTGGTGGTGATGAGTTAGCTACGCAATAATTGCTTTCAGTAATAAGTTTTATCATATAACAGTTCTATTCACCACTATACCGCACTGCTATTACAATAGTTTTGTAATTCAAAATATGTGAAATTCGGGATTTTACCATTGCTGAACGTAAAATTGGATTATGAACACTTGAATAAAACTGTGGTTAGAATATATTAAGAAACAAGTAAAAATATCTAGTTAGCTCAAAATGAGACAAACTTTATGTGAGCTAGTTCCAACAAACAGTCCTTACTTAAATATATGAAATATTTTTTCACTTTTATTTTTAAGTATATTTGGCAAGTTTAGATGTCGGATATAAACTTTAACCAGTACATAAGATTTAATGAGCTTCGCGTGGAAGCGACTAATTCATTTTTCATCGATTCTGACAAAATACACTTTTTGTGTTAATACACTACTATATTCACATTGCGATACTATGTTCTCATTTGAATACTCAGTTTGTGATAACATGCGACTGTCGCGGAATGCGCGCCTGGATTCCTCTAGAATGGTGCGAGAGTTCATTTGAGGTGCCACCTTTTGTTTTTGCAGGTATGACATTGTCTTTTGGAGGCAATCAGCAAATTCTGCGCCGTTCTCACAAACGCTTGCGCAATTTGCCGAGTTATGTCTAATTTACTTTTTGTGGCACCCATGCATTTTTATATTTTGGATGCTGTTTTATATAAATTTATTAATAAATCCAGATGATGAGTTGCTTTTAGAGAAGTTTCGTATGAGTACGGGAAAATACTTAATAGAACAGAATTAAATGATCGTTAATTACTTAGTTAAAGTATCATAACTTTTGTTGTTGACGTTGTTGTTAGTCTTATAGGTAAGGCCTTTCCATTTTCATTCAACCTGGCTTAAATTTTTAGCAAAATGGTACAAATGCACACAACACTATTTTTAATGACTTCTTTACCCCGACTTTTAGTATTGACATAATGAAGACAGAAATAAGTAATCATAGATAAAAGTACGGCCAACGATACGTTTCGCTTTTCCTTAACCGACTTCAAAACGTTCTGGAGGTTAAACGTTCGGCTGTATGTATGTTTTCCGATTTCTCCGTCAATTGTGGACCGATTTTGAAAATTCTTTTTTAGTTTGAAAGGGTGCACTTTCGTGGTGGTCCTATGTCACTAAATCGGAATCTGATGAACGGATCCCATGAAAATGGCATGGCATGTGAATTTTATAGGCATATGTGTTCAGTGTACTTACCGATTTCTCCATCAATTATGTATCGATTTTGAAAATTATTTTTTACTTGAAAGGGTATACCTATCGAGGTGGTCCCTGATGCCGATGAAGCCTTTTCGGATTCGTTTCGGCAATCATAAATTACTAATTATTTTTCACAACAAAAGTCAACTTTTCACTTGACACATACATACATCAACAAATCACCGTCACCATGTCAAAAACAAAAAAGTATAAAATATACAAAGGAGTCAGTAACAGTTCCATTGTCACCAAGAAGTCAGAATGCGATGAGGAGATCCCATGGAAATCTAAAAAAGCCGATATTCAAACTTTTGAGATCGGTTTTTTTTTCAGTGAAACATGTCACAGAAGTTATTTTATGTCAACTCTATTCCAACACTAGACAATCCAAAGTCCTGTTATTGTCTGTAACTTTAAAATTGAGTAGAAGTAGAGCTCCCTGTGAAAGAGTTCGCCGAGAGAAGTATTGCCACCTTTCTTATTTCTGCCGCCAAACAGTAATGTGAGTATTACTGTGTTCCATTTTCGAAGGGCCAGAGGGTGCTGGTGAAATTACAGGCACATGGGATTTATCAACTTATGTAATAATAACGCACACACTCAACATAGCCCCGCACTAGGGAAACCCTGTGTTGCGGGTGCCATGGACACTCACATAGACAACCACAATATACACCCAAATTCACGAGAGAAATAAATGTAGGCAATACAAACATTTATCCTGGCCCGAGAACCAAACCGGGGACCTCTGCGTGGCAGTCTGGCATGGTAACCGTTCGGTCACGGAGGCATTTAATATGTATGTATGTCTAAGGGTGACGTGCACAGTGGCGTTGCTCCTCAGATATTTGCTCTAAGTGGCACTTCAACTGTTATGGACAGACGTGCCGCTTATTACCAGGCACACAACTTGCTCACCCCATCACTTATTGACATTATAAAAAAAATATTAGCGTAGAAGTTTATAAAAATTAATTAAACAATAAGGTGTAAAGATCGTTTACAAATGAGGTATCAATAACCTGCGAAGCTAACCTTCATATTGTAATGTTATCTTCGTTGCGTAATAATATACGTGGCCGATGTGTGATAATGTGCTGTTTTATTTTACCCTAAGTTGCTTAATAGTAGTTAGTGTGTGTCTACGTCGCTGTGGTCAGCCTCTTATCTTCTCCTTTCTCTATTCGTTTCCTGCCTATAATAAGCTTCTATGCAACACGGGGCGAAATGAATGGCTTTATTATATCTTGTAAAAATATTCGTATATTTTAAAGGAACGTCTATTGCAGTAGGAGTTTGCCGAAATTCAAATTTCAAAAACAAAAAAAAACGTTAAACGACTGCGCCGCTCATTCATCGCTGTAGTGAATACTTTCCGGTAGGTATCATCACCGTATACGCGTTATACCTTACCGTATACCTTAAGAATTTTTCTTCGTGCTTGTTGGAGATATTTGTTTTAAACGACTCTTTTTCAAGGAATTTTTCTTAATGTTCGATCTCTGTATTAATAATTACCTTATTTATTCATTTATTAAGAAATAGGTACAAAAAGAAAAACTTAAATATTGGCCTGCTAACGGTGTAACATAAACCATTTTTGGTTATAAACATAAAGAAAAAATACAAACAAAAAAGAATATTAATAATTAAGCTAACGTGACTCATTTGATTGCTGTTTTTAACTTAATTCTTGCTATTTAAAATGCAAGTAAAATAACAATAAAGAAAAATAAAAATAAAAAACAAAAATGTGGGTAGGTATTTTTTTTTGTGGCGTAACATACGGAAGCATTTTGTTTCGTTCTTAATTTAATTTTTTTATAACTCTGAGTTATATTAAAAAACTAGTGGAGTAATTTCACAAAAAAATGAATATCGTAGTAGTAAGACATTGTGATATTCAATAAACTTAATATTGCATAAGTCCTTATTATATAAAGGTATTTGGTTATATATGCTAGTAAGTATAATATCATTGGCTATACGAATACATAGACTGGGATTAGATTTATTAAACCACTTTCAATGATAACCTGTTTACTGTAGCAACCTGTCATGGTTACGTTGACATTTTCGGTTCATCGCAAAGCAAAGGGTAGGAGTTTAAGTCACCTCGTGACTCGAAAGGTGGTAGTGTCTTCATGCCTAAAACAAAATGAATAGTCTAGACCTTTCGTTTTACTGTGCGAAAGGTTTTCTCGTGGGAACGACCTACTTCCTGAACCTGTTCTGTAATAATGTCCATGTTTTCACGTCGGCGACGCGTGCGCATCTTCGCGTGCATCGTTTGAAGGCCGCGTGCCACA